CATGTTTTAATGCCTAAAATAATTAGAGGGTTTTAACAAGTATCTTCTTCATTTCCTTCATGCTTTCCTGGCGTAGGGTGGACAAATCTCCATCTTCAGTAGTTACCGCTTATGGTTTGACCCCCAATTTCACGTCTATAATGTTCATTCCTTAGGTGTCCACTTGCTAGGCGTGAACCACAACCATAGTCTTCTTTAGCTTTAGGTTATCTACGTAACACTTCCTGGTGATATCTTGATCCCCTTGGATAACACCAACTTATTCCTCTGTAAGTGGGTATTTCATGCATAGATACGTTGTAGCTAGGGCATCTCCAAGCTGGTTGAAAGTAGACTGTCCTATAATCATGCTATATGAGGAAGGTGCATATATAATCATATATCTACATTGATCATCATAGAGTTCTCCTTGTCTCTAAATGTGGTCATCATGGTAATATAAGCTTTTACTTGCACTTGCTCATCTGAGAATCCTACCAATGATCCCGCGAAAGCTTAAGGTCGTCCATGTATAAGAAGAGTTTTTCAAAGGCATCCTAGTAAAGGATATTTGTAAAGCTTCCTTGATCAATCATCATTCTTTTCATCTCCTAGTCATCACATCATAGGATTATAACCATAGAGTCATTTTTATATGGATGGATGTCTATTGCGTCCCTTTTAGTGGAAGTGATATGAGATTCCGAAACTCCCTTATTGCTTGAGTTAGGATTCACGAATGAGCCCTCCATGGTTATAATTTGGCGGAGTCACCCCTAACATACTTATTTAATTGATCATCTTGGATGAGACATTTTATCTCCTTCTTGAGTTGGTAGCAGTCTTCAGTGTGGTGCCCTTTGACCATATGAAACTTGCACCACCTGCTGGGCTCAAGCCCTATGACATCTGATTTGGGTGTTGGTAGTAGCAGTGGAATGTCATGCGTATGAAGGACTTCACAACATATTTTCTCTCGTCGAGTGTTCAAGGACGTGAAGCTCTCAGTAGGTTTTTTTGCTTTCTTTGAAAGTCACGTTATCTCTGATGGGTGAGTTATAATGGCTCTTTTGTGCCTGTTGTGAACTATCAGGGTTGTTAGTTATACGCTCGTTGAATTCTCTAGCCTTCTTTCCATAGTTGATTTCCCCTCCCTTTTCACATATCATTTTTCATATGTTTCCGCTTCTGCCAAGGAAGTCGGTGGCCTCTATGCGAATAATTCATTAAATACACACTACTACAAAACAAGCCTTTCATAACACCAATATTACGACAGACATGGTGTTAACCGTGGTAATATATTTATCCTGGGCGCATATTTTTTTTATTTACTAGATGACATGTCACAACGGTCAAAAGTAGCAACCGTAGTGAAAAGTACACGCGGTGAAATGGTTTGAATTCCATCTCCAATAATTAGCCATTTCTCGTGATAAAAAATATTATTGACCATGTATATCACCACAGTTTTTATTTCTAACCGTGATGAAACATGATATTTATTTATATATAAGCAAAATTATCTAACACTTTAGTACATACAATCGTCTCTCTCAAAACAAAACCCTAATAACTCTTTCACTCGTCTCTCAAAGCGAAACCCTAACAACTCTGTCACTCGTTTCTCTCATATGGATACCACAAAACGAAACCATAACCGCAAGTCTTAGCCAATGGGTATTTACAGGTTCATTTTATCTGTAGTTTTTTGTCAAAATCTATTTCAATATCTTGTTTCATGATGTTTGAACTTTCTTCTTTTTTCCTCTTGTAGGTATGGATGCTTATTGCAATAAAGATGACGAAGGTAAATTTAAAATGTCAAACTTATGTCAAAGATCCAAAATGACATCCATTCAAAATATACACAAGTTCACTGGTCTAAATTTATCTTCATTCTTGTTTCATTGTTGACACGCCATTATGGGACTTGACATGTAGGGTATGTTTCTGAAGCATTTTATGCCTTGATATGTTTGTTGTATCGTGTTTGTTTGTTATTTTTTGTTGTGGATGAATGATTTTGATGAATGTTGTTGTTAATGTCTGTTTAAAATGTGAGTTTATTATATATTATATGGTTTGAGTATTTTTCCAATCTCTTACCAAATATATAACTTCCCAAACTGCATTAGAAAATTACGATATGATAGATAAAATTGTATTAGAAAATAACTACAGATTTAATTCTTGACAAGAATTTTCACACTGTTAACTGCATTTTGTTCCTTGACAGTTAGAACTTGATTTCGTGATCCTAGATCTTCAACCACCCCTCTCTCCACCTCTAATTTTGTTTGCAAAGTAAATAATATTTTGCAAAAGAATTAGAGTTGAAGGCAGGGTTTGCTGAAGAACTAGGATCATTAAACCAAGTTCTTACTGTCAAAGAATAAAATATGGATAAGGACTTGAAGAACTCTTGTCAAGCATTGAACATGAATTTATTCTTCTAATATAACTTAATTTTTCATATGATAATGTTCTAGTGCTGATTGGAAGGTTATATGTTTAATGAGCATTGACGAAAGAAACATTCCACATAATTTATAATAAACTCAGGATCTTATACAAAAACTATTGTCTAGAACACCGTTGTTAAATGTTTTGTGTTTTAATATACCACAACGGTTGTTTAAAGTAACTATTGTGGTAGGTAGCGGGTTACTTGGATACAATCACGGTCGCCTGCCCGTGGTTGAAATTATCATACATACAATCACACCTTACGTCACAACGGTTGGACCTGTGTGATAGTATCCCTTTTCCACAAGTTGTTATATGGGTTTTTCGTAGTAGTGACATGCCCTTAAGCCATTTTGAAATGCTCCTATAAACATTTCTTGGTTGAGGTGAATGGCCTTGATAGTTTCCTCGTTGAAGCAGGCGAAATATTCTCTTGGAGATTCAGAAGGGCCTTAGCGAATGTTGAAAAGGTTGGTGGTATACATCTTTCTATGCCTACTTGCTACAAATTGATGACCTTTTTCTTTAACGGGTCATGGTATATGATGACCTAGAGTCGTGGCAAGGACACATACCACCTTAATGTCGCATATCTGAAAGTGCCATAGAGAAGTTTGCATTTCAAGGAATCAGAGACCCATATGGGTCTTTACACCCATCAAACTTGGCCAATGAGGGCAACTTAAAGTTCTCTAGCACCGATGCTCCATACATCTCTTATAAAAGGTATGCCTCCTACTGGTTGTTGTATGTGGAGGACGTTATCATCCAAAGTTGGATTTTGGCAACGTAAGTTGTCCATGACATCACACATCTCTTCCATGGCATATCCTCATCTTCATCGGACACAATATTGGCAGAGTTGCTACCTTCTTATTCACCATGATGGATATATGAGTTGTATATGAGGATAAAATCTAGGTTAATATTGTGATGGTGGCCTAAGTCAGTTTTATCAGGGATTGCCCCGGTGGACGCCAGTTGTACTTGCTAAAAGTATAATATCAGACAACCCCTAGTGATTAAGAGTTGTCAGAGGTATTAAAGTTTGTTGTGGTGTTAGAACAAGTTCACACAGAAATGGAGAAGCTTTGCCTATGGTCTTTTCAAAGAGAATTTAATGTCTTTCTCAACCTTAGGGTTAAGGTATTTATAAGAATCTCTTGAGTCTAGATCTTAGACTCCAAAAAATTAATACCCGCTTTCAGAAGTGTGGGAAGCAGGCAATCACCTCCATTATTATTCTGTGAAAAGTGACTTCTCCTTTTTGACTTCCTCTCACATACTAGACAAGGACACATCATTATCATGTTTTTACATAAAGGTGAGTGATATTGAAAATAGGTACCATAACTGAATATGATAGACGCTCGTTGCAATAAATAAGCGACTAGAAAACTAACAGGGACGATATTTTATGTCGCCTCTCTTTAGAGAACTCCTTACAATGTCTTTTGGGGGGCCTTTTAAGAATATACTAGCACACAATTTAAGACAATTTTTTGCGAAATACTCCCTATGTTCCATTTTAAGTGTCGTTCTTTTGAAAATTTTATGTTTTTTTTTAATTATCGTTTTCAAAGTTCAATGTAATATTAATTATAGTTTTGTCAAATCACCTTAACTATTTATTAGGGAGTAAGAAAATAAATAAGTTGAGATAATGAATAATTAAAGATATTATAGATAAAATGAAAATTATTGTTGAAAAATAATAACAATTATTAACATATTTGATATTTATAAAAAATAAAAAAAAGGGTGAAATATATATGCGGTCCTCTTAAATATTTCAAATTTTGTTTTTAGTCCCTCAAAATATTTTATTTAAAGAATAGTCCATCTAAAAATTCTCATCCACATTTTTGGTCTATATTGCAACTTAACAATGATTTTTACATCTTAGCGACTGAATTAACGACTAATTTGACGATAATTTCAATATTAAAGACTTAAAATATAGATGAAAAAGTTTAGGGAGAACATTTAAAAAAAAAGTATTTTGAAAAACTAAAAAAAGAAATTTAAAATATTTAAGAATTTAGGAGGATCACAAGATTAACTCAGTAAAAAAATAACAATAAGGTATGGAAAAAGGAAGTAGTAATATACAAAGATTCAAATTAAGACGATTTTCTAAAGGTATTATAATCTTTGCATTGAAAACCGAAGATTTGTAAAACAATCAAAGATTGGTTAATTTTCCTACAAAAGTAAAGTCTTAATCTATGCAAAATTCCTAAACTAGGAAAGAGTAGGAAATGAAACAATTCAAATCACTAATCCAAAAGCATAATTGGCCAACAAACCAAGAGAAAAAAACACTCTGGTCATTGCACATTTTTCCTCTCCCACCTTTCACTCTCCACCATCCAATTCCACAAACTAAAAATATAAACTAAAAATCCTGTCAATTTTCAACAACTTTTACTTTCCTAGAACAAATCCTCAACAAACATCACGTATTCATGTGCCTATAGTGATTTTCCAAAATCCAAAATCCTAATCAACAACAAAAAACATTTCTAGTTGTTTGATTTGTTTCTCTCACAATGCCAAGCAAACTAAGGAAAGCAATTGGAGCAGTAAAAGACCAAACAAGCATTAGCCTAGCCAAGGTAACAAATGCAGCAAATCTTGAGGTAATAATTCTCAAAGCAACAACACATGATAAAAATCCAATCGAAGAGCGCTACGTTAACGAAATCGTTAACGTAGTTTCTTCGAACAAAGCTTATGCTGCTGCATGTGCACAATGTATAGGCAAAAGAATAGGCAAAACCAGAAATTGGGTTGTTGCACTCAAATCTCTTATGATTGTCCTTAGAATATTCCAAGATGGTGATCCTTATTTTCCTAGAGAAGTTTTTCATTCAATGAAAAGGGGTGCAAAAATTCTCAACCTTTCAAGTTTCAAAGATGATTCGAATTCTAGTCCTTGGGACTACACCGCGTTTATCAGAACGTTTGCGTTGTACCTTGATGAGCGGTTAGATTGTTTTCTAACGGGAAAACTTCAAAGGCGATTCAATTATAATAACCGATTTTACGAGAAGAATCAAAGGGATGAGCCTGGTATTAAAGATATGAAACCTACATTGATTCTTGATAGAATCAGTTATTGGCAAAGGTTGTTGGATAGAGCTATGGGGACAAGGCCAACCGGTTCGGCCAAGAACAGTCGTTTGGTTCAGATTTCTCTCTATGCTGTTGTGCAAGAAAGTTTTGATCTTTACAAAGATATCAATGATGGGCTTGGTGTTGTTTTGGATAATTTCTTCAATTTACCACTTTCAGCTTGTGTTACCGCATTCAATGCATGTGTTAAATCATATAAACAATTCGACGAGTTAGCTGCATTTTATATTTTTTGTGCAAGCATTGGAATTGGTAGATCCTATGAGTATCCATGTGTGCAGAAAGTTTCTGAAGAGCTTATGGAAACATTACAAGCTTTCTTGAAGGATCAAGCTTCGTTTCATACGAATAACAACGGTTCGAAACATTTAATTCTTTCTGCACACAAAAACTCTAATGCAGGTTCATGTTCATCTCAAGATGAACTAGGTGTTGAAAGATGTGGAACACTTGAAAGGTTTTTCGAAACTGGTTCCGAGTTTGGATCTCAATGTACTTCATTGGAAGATTTAATGTGCGCTACCGATGCGGCCGGGAGTTCGCGCGGATCGATGGAACACGATGCGTATTCCGAGGTATCCGATGAAGACGAGAAACCGTCATCACAATATGATGATGAGTTTGTTAGTGCTAATGGTTCGGCTTCTCTTAGATCGTTTACGATGGATCGAAATTCCAGGTCGAGTTTCGATATAATAAGTGTTGATGACATGAATCAAGATCAAGTGCAACAAAATCAAACAAATGAAGGAGGTTCCAATTTAATTGATAGTTCCAAAGATTGTTGGGAAATAGTGTTGGCAAAGACAGTAACTAATGAAACATCATCATCATCACCTAAATTGGATAATGGTTTTGACCCTTTTTTCAGTTTCTTTGATCAAGCTTTAGTACCTGCACCTCAACAAAAATACAATCCATTCCTTGATGACATTGGAACTTTAGCCCCTCTTGCAGCCACAACAACGAATTCCGATTTTGACGATGTTTTCAATGTATCACTAGCACCAACTTTTAAGGCATCAACAACATCACAAATCTTTAATGCTCATGACCCTTTTGCATCATCTTTCTCCAATTCCGCAACAGATTTGGATCTTATTTTCGGCGACATAAATCAGAACAACACAACAGCTGCACCAACCTTTCAGGCTCAAAGCTCTTTACAGATGATTGTAGCACCAACCTTTGAGGCTAAAGATCCTTTCAAGAATGTTTCAACACCAACTTTCGAAGCGCAGAATTCAAATGTCAATTACATAGTAGAATCACCAAGCTATACCGTCGAGAATCAAAATGCTTGTATTGTTCCTTTTGATTCATGTAATAGTTTTAACAATTCAACAGTGGCACCAACATTTAGTGCAAATGGTGGCAATGAAACAACATTGGCAACAGAAGTAGAAGATGATCCTTTTGGACCATGGCCTAGTACTGCAATGACCAATGATCAAACATCTAATGTGTCACCAATGCAAGATCAAACTTTGTTCAGGCTTCAACAACTGTGGTTGGAACAACAAAACAAGATTATAGCAAGGCGTATGACTTGAAAACAATGTTGTAATTAAATGTTTAAACATTGAAGTTTTGTAGAAAAAATGTTTGAGCATTGAAATAAACTTGTTATTTTTTCCAACTCTTTTCCATTCTCTAATTGGTTAGTTTGTTAATAATAATATCATGATTAAGCATTATAGTTATGATAAAAAAGTTATTATGTTAATGCACGAATTTTGCAAATACATGATTTAAGAACATTTGCATTAGTCTGATTATTATAACGACAAAATAAGTATAATTTGTAAGATTTACCGACCGTTACAATCCATGCATAGGTGAAAAGTTGATATGTAATTTTTTTTTTTAAAAGTTAGATTTTTTTTTTTTTGGCTTTTATGTGAAAATCTGGAAGTTATCAAACTTCAGAAAAAAAAAAGTGAAAATCTAAAATAGTTTTAAAAAAAAAAATTAAAATTCACAATTTTTGTTCCTGATCTAATAGTCTAACTTTGACGACAAATTTATGCCCTTTTGATAAAATTAAATAATAAACTAATGTGAAAACTAATTTATAGCTAAAACAGTTAATTAAAATTTAAATATTTGTTAAATTTAATGAATATATGCACTTATACAACCGTATAATAAAGATTTTTTTTTAAATAACTAACTTTTTTAATTTATATACTAAAATAATCATTACCAATAATCACTTTTCAAACAAAAAATTGGAATAGCTATTCAAATTGACCCATGTATTTTAAAATAAAAATTTATTTTATTTTAAATGTAGATAAAAAATGTAGATAATACTAACAGTAAAAAATGTAGATAAAAATTTATTTATTCTAAAAAATTTATACCCTTGACATTATCCGTAAAAATCTTTTTTGTGAGAAATAATTTGTTGTACCTACATTTAAGTATCATAGATATAAATTTTTCTAGGATATTGGTATATAAATTTTAAAAAATAGTTATTTAAAAAAAAAGTTCTATAATAAAAGTCTACTATCAAATTTTGTAAAAGAAAAAAAGAAAAAAAAACTATCGTCAATAATATATATCTATTTCTAACTACTATTGCTTAAAATTAACTACTCAATATATTAGTTATCCGGAAGTAAAAATGATTATTAATTAAATTAATTTTAGTTATAAGAAAAAAGTGTAAATTAAATTTGCACCATAAATAAAAAACTGACCATGTATTACGTCAAGTAAGATTAAGATTTTTGATTATTTATATAATACAGTGAATATTTTTATTGAATAACAATTTAAAATGCATTTTCATTAAAATTAATAGTAATATAAATTTTGATATAAAAGTAACATTTATATGAAAAAATTGCAAATCTTAGAAATAAGAAAATTAGTTTTATAAACAAAATTATATTTAAAATATTATATCAAAATTAGCTTTACATTTTAAAATCACTTTTTTCACGTACGAAATTCAAACCACATATACACTAAATCATGGAGTTATGCATAAAAACTACAAGTGTAGTAGCATGAGATCGAAACCTCGGCATTCCATTTATTTATTTTTAAACGGTGAAATTCTATAATTAAACTATTTAAAAAAAAAAGTTTTAATAAGTGATGTAGTTTCTAACTTAATTTTAGATTTTATTTTAATTATTTATTTAATAAATATTATAAATTAATCTCTTAATAATGATTATGTTAGCTAACTTAATATTTACCGTTAAATTGGCTAGAAAAAATATTAAGTGGCATGACAACAAGGCTTAACTTACATTAGTGATTCAATAAGTGTTTATATTAATGTTGTAAGCTCCATTTTATCATTTATGCGTTTTCTAAAATTAGATAGGGTTACTATTCATCTTCTTCCTTCATCCATTATTTTTTTAAGATTCCTTTTCATTAAAACCATCATCTTCATAATTTCTGATAAAATGTCAATGAACTCCAGCACCTATTCAAAATCAAACAACCAAAGTTATGGGTCATTTGAATTTGTGGTCATAAGAAACAAGATGAGGGAGCGTTGGTGTCAAGAAGAGTGTGTTATTCGTACCGTCATAGATTTGAACATTGTGAATGTTGGGAAAAAAAATTGGGATTGTAGGAATTACATAAATCAAATAGAGAATGGGTATCATTGTTTTCAAATGGGTAGGTGGTGAAGTTGTTGATGGAAGGGATTTGAAAATTGAAAGGTAAATATTTTTTTTTCAAGTTTAAGAATGATGTTTCCCATGTTGAGACAAGTTTGTTTCATACCATGTATCCTATAAGGTTTTGATGATGATAAAGTATTTGAAAAACAATTAGGATTTCTAACTAGCTAGTTTGTGTGTGCAGAAACATATTTGGTTGATGAAACTAGTTCTGGCACAGAAGTAGCTTTGATTCGGTTCTGATCATACACTCGTGAGAGAGTCTGATCAGAAAACAATTGTTAGTACACTTCAGAATCATAAGCGTGTTATGGCTGCCTCTGAGACTGAGTAGTGTTAACTAAGTTCTGCTAACACGGGACTCGAGATATATTGACATTATCTTTAACAGATTGTGTTGTACATGAATCATAGATATGTCCTCTGGACAAAGGCCTTATTCTATGGATATTTCCTTGAATGAAAGTTCCAACACCTGCTTTATTGTAAAGTAAGATATACTAGAAGATTTGATCTGATTATAGCGGTTGTGGATGCTCTGACTATTATATTACTTCAGCTATATGAGGAGCAGAAGATTTGAAGATCAACTCAAGAAATAACGCTGCAACTACAACTAAGAAATACATGCACTGCATATCAGAAGCAAAATCTGTTAAGAGCTCTTATTCTTGTATAGCTTAAAAATCCTTTGTAAAAGTGTGTTGTATTATATTTGAACACCTCTGATTGTTAATCAAGTGTTGTTGTAAGTTATCCTTCTCTAAACAGTTATTTTAGATAAAAGTCTCTTGTTGTAGGCTTGAGCAGGAAAGTCTTAGACAATATGTTTGAGTAGGAAAGTCTTGGATCGAGGATCTGAGCAAGGGAAATCTTAGGCAGTGTGTCTAAGTAGGAAAGTCTTGAACTAGGTGGTTTGAGCAAGGGAAGTCTTAGGATCTGAGGATTTAAGCAGGAAGTTTTGATCAGGTGCTAATTAAGCAGGAAAGTCTTAGACGGGAGGTCTGAGAAAGGAAAGTCTTATACAGGTGTGATAAGTCAGTGTAATCGGGTTGATTATAGTGAAAAATCTCTTACAAGGCAAGGGGACTGAAGTACTCTCAGTTAGGAGAGGAACTAGGATAACTGTTGTGTGTTCTTTGTTATTTTTGCTTTACTTCTGCTGCATTTTCCGCTATACTGATTATCAGATTTTGAACTCAGCTTTAGAATCTGAACTCTGGTTCAGAAGTAAAACTAATTTGGTAAACACAATTCAACCCCCCTTCTTGTGTATTTTTCTTGCCTTCAGCTCACACAAGAGGAATGTTGAAAACTTCAATGATGTTTGACATTATTAGTTTAGGGTTGAATTTATTGTTTTTAACCATGTTTTTAACTTTATGCTAAAAAAAATGTAATTTTATGTTATGAAATTATGTAACTTCTCAATTGGTTAAATGAAATGGGTTGATCAAAACAATGTGTTATGCTCTGTTTTATCATTTATACTATAACAAAGGTGTTTGTGATGTTCTGTGTTATAAAATGTGGTATGTAATATTGCAATACAACAATCTTAATCATAAAATGTATGTAATTGTATGTTATGGAATTAAGTGATTTCTCTGTTGGTTAAATGAAATGGGTTGATTAAAATAATGTGTTATGCTCTGTTTTATCATTTATACTATAACAAAAGTGTTTGTGATGTTCTATGTTATAAAATATGGCGTGTAATATTGCAATTCAACAATCTTAATGAAACAAAAAATATTAAACAATGGACTATAAATATTATATTTGAGAAATAAAAGACTTAACTTAAATCAATGTAATAAATAAAAGGACTAAGTTGAAATCTTTGTGATTAGTAAAGGGACTACACTGTTATTTGATGTTTGCATTAAACCAAACAAAATCAAAAGCCAAAGTAAGAAAAGTACAAATTGTTATTTGCATTAACATAACCAAAATTAAGATCCTTGTTACATATTTTGGATATTTTGGCTTAACAACACAAAATCTGTGTTGATTGATACTAATACAAAAACCTAAAGTTTGTGTTCATTGACACTAATACAAAAATCCAAAGTTACACATACAGTAGTACAAAAATAGAGCAAACATAAGATCACACTGCAGTTGCTTCAAGATGATGAGTTGATGCATGCTGACTTGGTCCAGGTTGATTTGTTTCAGGCTAACTTAGTTCAAGTTGAGTTGTCTGACTTTGAGCAGGCAGTTTGCAAGTAGCTTTGTTGTGCCAAATCATGTGGCACCTAGTACAATTGATTCCAAAGTTAGCTTACTTTAATTGTGTCTCATATTTCATATTCTCTGATGCATCTTTGGTTCTCTTCTTCTATAGCCTTTCTAGTTGTCTTTTGATTGGTGGTGACTGTAAATCAAGATACTCTATTTTCTACCATAGAGTTTCCCCACTCACTGGATATATTACGGGTGCATAACATGCCTCGGTAATCACATTCAACATAGAAAATGCTAATTAACTTAGAAAAATACATTATCAAAACAAAGTGCCTTTTGTTGATCATTATGAATGTGTATGTCTAGCATAATCTTGCACCTCTTAGGTGAGATACCAACGTTTCTAGGAACTAACTCCATGAATCCTTGGTTTCACCTTCCACAACAGCAAATACAATTGGCAACACTTGGTCATTTGGGACCCTTCCAATTGTTGCAAGTATTTGCCCACCATAATAACCTTTCAAGAAGCAGTAATCCAAACCTATTATAGGTCTTCACTTGAAAAAATTATCTCTGCAGGCCTTAAAACAAATATACATCCTTTGGAAATATGGGCACAATTGTCTCTCAGGATGCTCAATGATGTACTATCCACCTTGAAATGGTTAACTTGTCACTTTCATAGTTGAACCGGGATTTGACCT